CCATATAAACTCAGCCAACATTGTTTCCCCTCACTTCCCCATCAGAAGGTGTGCTCAAGAACATGATGCCTGAGATGATTAATGGTCCCTCTCGTTTTCAGCCTTGAGTTGCTTATGCCTGACTGATTCCCATTCTGTTATATTCACTGTCCTTCGGCTTAACTAACTCTTGCATCTCAAGATAGACTTATTTGCAGGTAGCAGCAATTTCGCTTGTCGGTCTTCATCTTACAGGACTGAGTCATCCAACCTCTCTTTTATATTCACTCAGAATTTGGACTTCGTTGATCTTTTCACCCAAGACACCTTTTCTGATCTCTCTTCTGGTTTTGTTTCCATTACCTATACCTAGTTAAGCAGATATTAGTGAGAGAGGATTCAGAGTCTTATTTCCACTGGCATTACTCACTGTACTACGACGTCTACACTGCTTCCCTGGTCAGCCAGAGCCTCTGCTACTAGAGGCCAGGAACAAGAGCTGTGGGACCACAGCCAGGAGCAGAAGTAGGACAGGCCAGGGAAGGCCTGGGAACATTTCAGTAATTGTTAAAGTTTGTGAAAGGGGAATGTGTATTTTGGAGGGAGAGAGAGGAGAACTGATGCAATTAAGCAGAATGTTTCATGAGTTTACTGTTGTTCTCTCTGGCCTCAGTTCCCCAAATGAGTTTTGATGCAGTTGACTAACAGCTAATGACCAGAGGTTTATGCAGTGTCTTGAAGGAGCATCACGGTGCCCACTAACACCTCTATCGGTGCTTTTAAAGGAGCAACAGTATTGAAAGAGTCTGTTGTAACAATAATATCTTCTTTCATATGTGTGTGCTGGAGCTGGTAATCCCTTCAACAGTGGTTATCTGCCCAAATAGTGTGGATGCCTCCTCAGAGCGGGGGTTAGTTACTTCACTCCCTCAAAGCAGATGGGTGGTCATACAGTTAGAAACTTGAGAACTTTTCTGGTATCATCTAGTAAGAGATAGATGTAAAGGTGGTGTCATCCTGAATGTCTAGAGACTGAAGGAGCATCTTCACGGGTACTATATGGAAGTAAATCAGACAAGTAAGTGATGATCAAAAAAATACTGAGTCTGAATGGCCCTTACCTTGCCTTATTTCTTGTCAGGTTATTGGAATGAAGATAGCAGCAGTGTATCGGCACACCAGAAACTCAGCTGGTACAATAAGAAGAGCACCATTAAACTCCATGCAGCTTTGCACCACATTAGGATTTGTTAATTTGTCCTTTACCTGATGTCGATCAAATTAATTGTCTTTGCTCTGTGTCTTAGTTCAGAGCAGTGTATCAGGTTAAAAAGGAAATTTCTCTGACTTCTTCCATGTTTTCAGCTTAACCCTAATTATTCGTACGACAGGTATGAGGAAACACCCCTAAACTGAGGTTGTGTGAACATGCACAGTACACGTCCCAGTTCTTGCCCACGTAGACTGTAAGCAGCACCCACTGATTTTGCTGGCTATTACTCACAGTCTGCAATGTGGGGTAAGTAATCCTACCCTTAAATTGCTGTACTGCCTTTAAGCAAGTCAGCTGGAGCAAATCCATGTCTGCTTTGGGAGTGTTTGTTCTCTGCAAGCTTTTCCATGGCATCACTGACTGACTTAACCTACAGAAAATAGGAAACCACTGCCTGTTCCAGAGAAACACTGGCTTTGTTTAGCTTGCTGGATTAGCAAATCCACAGAAGAGTTTTCAAAGCCGACTTCCACCATTCTTAGTTGTTTCCTCTTGCTCTATTTCACTGTCTTAAACCTCCAAGTTGTTGGTCAATTAATGTGACAGGAACCCCGTAGGTTATGTTTGTTCATGGTAGGCATGTCTTCTCTCATTAGTCCAGTCTTAACAGCTGCAGAGTTCTAATGTCTCAGCCACTGTATAACAGCCTGTTTGCAATGAATTGCCAAAGCAATAAAAACGTGTGTGTTGGGGGCAGGGGGAGAGGCTCATGTAAGAGCTGAGAGGGAAAATGTTAAATAGACAAAACCTCAGATTTTCTTCTGTTCTGCTGATTATTATTTCAATCCCTATTCATTCCTGAATCTCAGTTAGTTCCCCGTCTCCCATAATGGTAGAGAGTTGAGTCCTGATCCTTTTATTATTCATGTTGGATGTTCTGACTAAAGGTTTTGCTGTCACTCTAAGGAATTTGAAGACTACACACACATTTAAATGTTTTGGAAACAAAGTTGCTAGTCTTGAATTTAAAAATCTGAGTTTCAGCAGTGATAGGTGAAAATTATCTTTCATTAGTTAAGTTTATCACTGTTCATTAAGATTTTCCTGTAATTGTAATTTTTCTTTAATTGTTTTTCTTTTTTTGCTCTATTTACTAAGCTTTCTTTGAGTCTTGTCAGACAGTTTAACTTGCTAAATTAATAGGTTTGCTTATTAAAAATGTTTATGGTACTGCTTTGTCATCATTAAATATTCCTGCAAGTTAATTAGTAAGAGGTTGCTTCTTAGTCATTCCATCCTTTAGGACGCTGCTTCAAAGAATTCTCCAACTAAGCCATTGTCTGACAGTTCTAATCCCAAGTGCCTAATATTTTTCACTGATATTCGATTTTAGCAATCTGATATGGCCATTAAATATTGGAGGCCAAAATTAATGATACATTTATATAATTGTGCATAGTGGTACTATCTATCTTTGCAGAACTTTTAACAAGAAAGACATAAACAGGAATATTTCAAAATTATTATGAAAATCAATATTTAAAAAAAAATTTACCTATATGAAATTTAAAGATATCATCATGTATCAATTTTGGATAAGGAAAATTATAGTGAACTGCCTAATATACCCTAGATTTGTCAGTTAATTGCACAGACAACTGTATTTTTCATGATAAAAGTAAGCATTCTTTATGTTTATTACTAATGTTATTTAACAGTTTCTTTTTTTTTTGCATCAGCACATTTTCAGCATGCAGACCCAAGAAAATAAGTGAATTAGAATGCAACAGGGCACCTCATCTTTATCCAGCTGAAGTTAATGGGAGTTCTGCTTTGAATTTGAACTGAAGTTGAGTTTATTGGAAATAAGATTAGGCCAAAGTGTGTATAGGTTCTTGCAAATTTCTTTTTAGGAAATTTAATTATAAACAGGATAAAATGATAGGAAATTATGTTTCATGACAGTACAAGATTTCTGTTCATGCATAGAATGATGGTTATTAAAGCTAGAGAACTTACGCATTGCTCTCTGCTTACTCCTTGCAGAACATAATTGAGAGCTCTGTCCAATCCATGTTTAAATCATTTCAACAACAAAACCTCTGCCACTTCTCGTTGCCTGCAGTACACTCTCTCACAGGATGTTTCCTATGAAATTAGGTCTAGATTTTCATGTGATTTGTTTCTAAATGAAATGTTGAAGATAGATTACTATTATAGTGGAAGTCGGTTTTCCACAGGCTCTGGAAGTCTGAAGGTTTCAGACACAGTCGCTTTGAATTGACAATATGGGATGACCATATGTGCCCACATCCCATCAAAATTTCACTTAAAAGCCAAAGTTCACAAAACCAGTTGTTGGACTTTACTCCATTCAGTAGGTGCCTAATCTGCAGGGTTCCTAAATTTTGTAGATATGGAAGGTTTTGATGTTCTGATCCTCTGCGTGCTTGGTGAACATGTGATGTGGGCATAAGATAATACTTGTGCTGAAGGAAGGCTCTTCTGTCTCTCCTCTTTTGGCTTAAATTCTGACCTTCGTGATGGAACCGATCTTTCTGAAAAATACCTCTTAACAACAATGGGGGAGGAGGAAGGGATTTGGTTTTACATATTGGTCAGTTCCTCAGGTTTTTTTCCATTGAGTGTTGCACAGATGCTTGCATGGGCCTCCAGGAGAGGAGGACACTGAGCTGAAATGAAGTGGGCAGAATAACAGAAGGACAGTCTCTTTTGGGATGCATGCTGGGTGATAGTTCAGAAAACAGTGGAGTCTAAATTCTGTCTGTGATGCTTCTTTTTGTGGTGGTGGTCAGCACCAGGGTGCCTAACTATTTCCTACACTGGTACCCCTAAACTAGATTTCTTTCACCTTTGTCAGTCAAGGAGTAGACCTGACTGGTGTTTCACAAGTTGAGCTCTCTTTGCCTATGAAAGCAGCCCAAAAAGCCAGTCGCATCCTGGGCTGCATCAAAAGAGGCATGGCCAGGGTCACCCCTCTGCTCTGCTCTGGTGAGACCCCACCTTCAGTACCATGTTCAACCCTGGGGCCCCCAGCATAGGAGAGACATGGACCTGTTGGAGTGAGTCCAGAGGAGGGCCACAAAAATGATTCAGCGGCCTGGAGCACCTCGCCTATGAGCACAGGCTGAGAAAGTGGCCTTAAAGCAACCTTCTAGTACTTAAAGGGGCCTACAGCAAAGGAGGAGAGAGACTTATTATCAGGGAGCATAGTGATAGGACCAGGGGTAACAGTTTCAAACTGAAAGAGGGTAGATTTGGATTAGATATTAGGAAGAAATTCTTTCCTGTGAAGGTGGTGAGACACTGGAACAGGCTGCCCAGAGAAGCTGTGGAAGCTCCCTCCCTGGAAGTGTTCAAGGCCAGGCTGGATGGAGCTTTGAGCAACCTGGTCTGGTGGGAGGTGTCCCTGCCCATGGCAGAGGAGTTGGAACTAGGTAATCTTAAAGGTCCCTTCCAACCAAGCCATTCTATGAAAGAGTATAAATCTCTTCCAGAGAACAGCCTTCATCCAATGTACAATAAATTAATTCCGTCTTCAGCCTGAGTGAGTTCAGGCCTTCATCATCCATCCCTAAGAAGACTGCCATCGACTGGGGACTTTTGAAAGAGATGAAATTTTCCCCGTCTCCACTGAATAATGGACTATACCCTTGTAGCTGTCCTTTTTTTTCCCCTTTAGTCCCCGTCGTGTGTTTTTTCTTCTTTCTTTTGTTGTTTATTTGTTTTGTTTCATTTGTTCCAGACAACACCTATATTAACTTGCCTTCCCTTTTCTCCTTCCCAGGTAGCCTCTCTCGGAGTCACCACCTTCACCCTATGCGCCCTCTGCATTGACCGATTCCGTGCCGCCACCAACGTGCAGATGTACTACGAGATGATCGAGAACTGCACCTCCACGACGGCCAAGCTGGCTGTCATCTGGGTGGGTGCGTTGCTGCTGGCCCTGCCTGAGGTTGTGCTGCGCCAGCTGGCAAAGGAGGACCCTGAATACAGCGGCAGCCCCCCAGGAGAACGGTGTGTGGTGAAGATATCCACTGCCCTGCCTGACACCATCTACGTGTTAGCTCTCACTTATGACGGGGCAAGACTCTGGTGGTACTTTGGCTGCTATTTTTGTTTGCCAACACTTTTCACCATTACCTGCTCGCTGGTAACAGCAAGGAAGATCAGGAGGGCAGAAAAGGCTTGCACCAGGGGGAACAAGCGACAAATTCAGCTAGAGAGTCAGATGAACTGCACAGTGGTGGCTTTGACCATTTTATATGGGTTTTGCATCATTCCTGAAAACATTTGCAACATTGTGACTGCCTACATGTCCACAGGGGTCTCTCAGCAGACTATGGACCTCCTTCATCTCATTAGTCAGTTCCTTTTGTTCTTTAAGTCCTGTGTTACCCCAGTTCTCCTTTTCTGTCTCTGTAAACCTTTCAGCCGGGCCTTTATGGAGTGTTGCTGTTGCTGCTGTGATGAATGCATCCAGAAGTCTTCAACAGTGACAAGTGATGACAATGACAACGAGTACACCACAGAGCTGGAGCTCTCCCCTTTCAGTACCATCCGTCGCGAAATGTCCACTTTTGCCTCCGTGGGGACTCACTGTTAATTTACCTTAGGACTTTATTTCCTGTATCCTTTCCCTTTTCCTTTCTTTTTTTTTTTTTTTTTACTTAATATTTCTCTTCTTGAAGCAAAATGCAAGGGAAAAAAAGATTATTGAAAACTACTCTGGAAACCAATCTGCATACTAACAGTCGTGCTTTGGGAAATAATTTGTTTGGTTATTAAAATGGAAGAAAGAGAAGGAGAGCCAGCAGTCAGTTTTACATCATGATGTTTTGTATGGTGCTAGGATTTTATTGTTTGAGAAGGAGAATCCATATGAATCCACTTTTATTTAATTCCGTAGTATTATTTTGATAATCGCTGTAAAATGATTATATAGACATTTGTGGGTTTTGCAAAGTGTTTCATATAAAAGATGTGGTGGAAAGTATTTGAAGGTAGTTTTAATCCAATTACTGTACACTATTGTGAGAGGAATCGGACTTCAGAAAATTTATAAAGTAGCATAAAAATAAATGAGGTTTTATTCTTTAACTTCATTGTCAATCTGCATTTAGTAAGGACATCTATAAGTAGTACTAAATTCCTTTAATAAGTAAAAAAGAATCTTTACTTTGCATAAAATAATTTAAATGACCGTATTTAATTTACCATTCATGTACTTACCCTTTAAGGCTATAATTACAGTGTTTAAGGAAGATGGTTATAATGGTATTAGACTTACATGAGTGGGTTTTTTAATGTATATTATGAAGGTTCAGTGTGCCTCACTGAAAAATTCCTTCTTAACCTGCAGATATACAAAACCTGAGTTATTTTGTACTTCTTATGAAGAAAGATTTGCTCTCTCACTAAAATTTGTCTTGTGTTATTTCAAAATCAAGTTTCTTTCTTATTTGTTATTGGTTTTACATTGAGATTATGTCCTCAGTCTCTGTATATATAGCTCCTACTGGCTTCAGTGAGAGTCCCATTGCAGAGAAAGGCATTCTTTTGCCAGAGGTTTGCTGACAATAAATGTGAGGGACTGAAACATGTGGAGAGTGAATTCCTTCTTTTTCAAAATGTATAAATGCACTTCGATGCTTGGGGCTTGACCTAGAGTCTGTTGCAGTCAATGGAAAGGTTTCCATCATTTTCAGAGGGCTTTGGATTAGGCTGGCATCTCCTATTTATTCTGGGATATGTAGCATGAATATTAATCACAGGGGGCTCTGTATGCTGATTATAAATCATGCTGCTCTCACAGAGACTGCTATTCACTAGCAGCTCATAGCTCTGAAGCTGTTTTTGAGAACTGTGGTGTGTTTTGCTGATGGCTTCTTGCTGTCCACAGAGTTATTAAAATGAGGGTATGTCAACACTGCCAGCAACAGTGCGATACAGTAAAAACTAAAGTTGTTGTAAGCAAGCCAGGGTAGAGACTGGAAAGTGCCTGTTTGTACCTGTGGAGCCTATTTGCCCCACTTCTCCGCTGAAGTAGACAGGCTGTTCTTGGCAGGCAATGTGGCCTGTATTTGCACTGGGCAGCAGGCTGAGGTGTAGACACATGCTAAGGAACTGAATTGGTTATAATTAGCTTATAATTTAATACTAATTAAATACACAATGCAATTGTAATAGTATGTGCAGAAGTAAAATCACACGTTTGTCCTTTGAAATTAACAGCGGTTGTAACTGATGTAGTCTTACTTCCCAATACCTGTCTATAAATATGTTGAAGCACTTGCTGTAGCTTCAGGAAAGGAATATATTTTTTATTAGTAGATTCTAGACTTAATATGTTTTATCTTTGTATATGCTTGAGTGAGCAGTATTTCTTTTTTCTTCAACTTTTTAACCTATAACAATTTCAACTGAAATATGGCTGAAGTTGATTAATCTGAATCTGAATATATATGCAATTGAGTTTTCTTTCTTTCTGACTTTTTAGTCAAGACATTGGGCCCTAGCGAAGCAATCTTTGGTAAATTTAAATAGTTTTTTCTTTTTTTGCTCTTGGAAATTACCTATGTTTTTAAAATACTTTTGTAACATGGTCAGTCACTCCTGAAAACAGGGGAACTGTCCCTTCTTTATAAAACCTTCACTGACTCACATTGCTTGACTACATTCAATAAACTACAAAAGGGATTAAAGAGAGAAGATAAAACCAAAATCTCCTCACTGTGGTGCCTCTGTCTCCTCAAACACATATTCCCATCTCTGCATTTTGATTTGTACTATTCTTTCTTCAGTGCCAATATTTATAAAGAACGAGAATAAAACCTCCCTTTTTGTTCCTTGCTGAGTCGTTTCTCTCTGCTGCCTTTTCAGTCACAGCATGAGCAGTGGCTGAAGGACCTGTGAATAGAACATAAGAATGGGAGGAAGCAATGTTCTTTAAAAAAAATAAACGGAGAAATTGCTCGGGAATATTAAATGATGATGTTTCAATAATTTAGGTTCAAGACTGCACCGGGGCAGGAAAAGTCCTCACTGCCTTCCATGTTAGGTGCTTCCAGCTTCCCAGTCTGCAACGGCCAAGTCTAAGCTCTGCAAAGGACTGCTGCTTGCTCCTAGGTTAAATGCTCTCTGTCCCAGAGTGGTTCTGTTTGCTTCTCCATTGAAACATTTCTACAATATGTGCATGGTAATCCTACTGGGGGGAAAAAAAATCTACAAAGAAAGAGATGTAACAAGTCACTGGAGGAGGCAGAATTTGAAGATCAGTAATGCTGTGTTTGGAAATACATCCTCCTGCTTGTGTGGTGTAGCATTCTCCAGCCTTTTTGTTCAGTGGGGCTTCTTTGTACCCAGTATAACCTTGCCTTTTCTGCTGCTGAAAGAGCATTTTTCACTGTTATTTCTGCCCCCTGCCCCGGACCTCTATAGCAATTGGACGTGCAAGATACCCTTTTATTCTACTTTGTTCTCAAAACTGGTTAAATTAATCCCACACTAGTAGGTTTGCATGGTTGCAGCTGTTCCGATGCAGGCATTGCTTGTTAATGTGTTTAAGTGTTATGATAAATGATTCCTTTTGTTAAAGATGGAGTACTGCATTGATTTTCTTTCTACTTTTGGCATTGATGCTCTTAACTCTTGAAGTTTTCCTGATATTTGCTTTTCTCACTTCTTAGAAGCCATTTCTGTCAGTTTTCAATGCATTTCTGTAAGACATTTGTCTGTTAACAAGAGCACATTTAATGGACTGATGAATTAAGGTTTGGAAATGTTTATGCCAAGTATTTAAGGCTTTTACATAGAATAGAGAGAATACGGAGTACAATGATCAGCATAAATGAAGAGTGATGGAATGGAGAATCAGATTGTGATGTAGGAAAACCTTATACTGCTCAGGTTTGTAAACCTTTAATACGTTAACATTTATCGTCCCAGCCCTGGTCCCACTAAGAAATTAAAAGCCATAAAACTCTAGTATGAGTTCCAGTATCTACAATGAGATCATGCTTCTTGACCTGTATCAAAAACGTGATATTTGTGTAGGCCAAAGTACAAGCTTTATTGAAAAACATTGCTCAGTTAGAAGAAATCTCTTATTTTACCCCTTCCAAGATAAATTCCTGCATCCAACCTTAAATAACTCCTACTCTTAAATGACCTCAGTGACTTGCTCATCTCCTGTTCTGTCATTGTGACCCAGATGTAAGTTGCCACTGCTGCTGCTGCTCCAGCAGCTCTGGGAATGGCTAAAGACAATGTAGAGGCTTCCAAGCATGTTGTCCTACATCTCTTCATAAGAAATTGTATGATGTTAGGCTACGTGGTGAGAGTTTAATGAATTTGGAGAAGCTATTCAAAGCTTCAACAGCTACTTACGTTTCACAGAATCTAGTTTGCCTGCATTAAACAACAAGAGTATTCAAAACCTTTCCTAGGATCTGTGAGACATTGTCTTAGGCACAGTCCAAACATACGCAACTTTCCCTATGGGCACGTAACTGCTGTTGATGTTCTCAGATACATCACAGAGCTGCTTCTGTGCATTTTTTTTTTGCGAGGTGACATTAACAGAACTCTCAAAACACTTAAATCATCCCTTTGTTACTGCACTGAAATTAAGACTGAATGTAAAACCTCCTCAAAATGAGTCTGTCTCCTTAGCTGGGCCCAGTCTTTTGTGTGTATGGAGAGCACACCTCAGGTGGCTGCGGACTTCTGCTAGATGCAGGCTTAGCATGGTAGCACCATCATATATATATTTGTGCATGTTCTGATCAATCAACAATTTAGATTCTGTTATATCTAGGATGGAAGAGCTGGATTCAAAGTCCCGCTCTGCTTAATTTATAGCTGAGACTTGAGTTTGGTGGTTCAACATCCCATCAGAAAGGCATAATCACTGTGGTAAGAGATATGCTGGTTAAAATGTTTTTAACTTTCCTATTGGAGTTCCAACTTTTTTTGGTAATTTTGGTAAATATTGAATTTGGTAAATATTGAAATCTGATGCCTTGCTCATCTGCATTTCTCTTTCCCACCTCTTTCTTTTCCTCCTGTTAGTTTCTGAAGGTCTTTCTTCAGGTAAGGCTATTTTGCAGGAAGAGTGGCAATTAAGCAGAGCAATACTGGGCAGATGCCCACATACACATCTTAGAGTCTCTAGGATTCCCTCTGCCTTAGGAACATCACAGCACATATGGGTAAGGTTGTGTCTTCCCTTTATTCTGGACAGGAGAACCTATGAAGAAACTGTCTGCAAGAAGTTGCCTCTCCCCAAATTCATAAGAATGTAGACCTAAAGATTTGCCCAGATTACAAAGGCAAACTGGAACCTTAAAGTAGATCTTTCATGTCTTAACTTCTCATGTATTCATCCTGAGAATACCCTTTTTTAGGGTATGGAAATATAACAAGTGACAAGTAAGGTCCATTTTCCTAATGCAATGAGAAATGTTATTAGGAGGTGTTACACCAGGCACTTTCTATGATAATACCTCTTTTTACTTTTTTTATCTTTTCTTCTTCCCAACCTTTCTTTTTCCCTGAAAAACTCAGTCAAAGTCAACGTGAGCAGATGATGTGAATCATTAAAACTTAATGGTATCCTACATGTGCTGTCTCATGCTTCAGCAACTGTATTTTTTCACTACTGTTTTGTATTTGATGGAGTCATTTAACGCCTATGCTTAGCAGATGTCAAATATTCAAAAGCTGAGTATTTTTCGTAGTGAACAAGAAACAATGACAAAGACACAGACTGAGATGCTCCAGGAC